TTTGAATGTGACGGCCTTGCACCTGTACCGCCATTATTTTGCGGAGCTCAGCGCCCTGGCAATCGGGGCCCCGTGGCCCTCCGGTTCTCAGAGATGTTGTGTCATCTCTGCCCGGCGTTGTGTTCTATCTGGTGGCGAGCAGCCACCGCGAAACAGGGCAGAAGACTCGAGCCACTCGGGATCTCGACCTCTTCACCAGGGCCGGTTTTTGATCATCAGTCGTTGCTTGAGCGCCTTGGAGCCAGGAAACCACCTCGAGAAGGCGTCAGCTTTGAAAAGCCGGCCGCCACGATTTGATTATTTTGACGACGGCCTGATTTGGGCAGACGCCTCGAAAACAACCATTGGACCTCTATTGGCGTGCGCTCTGGCCAGAATTAGGAGGCGGGTCTAGCTCTGGCGACTAGAAGCTTCAGGGTGACCCAGAAGAAGCGAGAAGCGTCCAAGGACCTCAAATTCCCGATCCTCCTCGAGGCGGCGGCAGAAGATCGCACAGTAGTCCAGTTGGCAGCAAGTCCGGCTGGGGCCAAAGGGCTCCGTTTGCTCGGCACCCCACTGGACTCAGCCTCGGGCGGGGCTAGGACCGGGACGAATCGTTCCACCGGGTTCTGAAGTGCTCTCAGGGCGTTCTGGAGTGCCCCGGGACGGCTGCGCCGCCCAACAAAATCCGCATCATACATGCGATGTATTGTTTTTGTTCACCACGCGGCCCCCAGAAGTCCCGACCGCTTCCCCAGGGCTGTGTTTTTTCTGACAGTGTGGCCCAGCGATGGCCCCTGGGAGCCGGAAGCGCGTTTCTGACGCGAGTTTGTCTGAGTCCAGAACCAGTGGATCTCAGAGGTCCCCGATTTATCCTGTCCGATGTTATCCCGGCCCTGGCTTCGTCTCCAGAGATTCTCCCAGCGGAGAACGAGGCTCCAGGCCGCCTAAATAGGGTCCGAGTGGATGGGGTCGCAGGATCGCTCCGCATCGACGACGCATTGACGATGCGGCTCGATAACGCCCGTGGTGCCGATGCATCAGCGATGCGGCGCGGTCCTCCGACCCGATCTACTCGGACCCCATCTAGGAGGCTTCCAGAGGCGCGGCAGAAGCTCGCGGAGGAGGCGCTGGCCATGGCGGAGGAGGCGCGGGACTTCGCCCACGGTGTCCGCGAGGGTGCGCAGATCACCGCGCAGGAGGCCCGGGCACTCGCCGACCGCAAGGCTCGAGAGCAACGCGAGCGTGGGGCGCCGGGCTGGCTGGGCGCGCGCGGTGCGGGGCTCAGCAGCTGGGCCTTCGCGGAGGCACAGGCTCAGCGGGAAGGTGTTCCTGGCGTTTCCGTTGTTTCTCTGCGGTTTTGCAGCCCCAGTGTGCTCTCCAGCAGTTGCGCCTCGCCGAGTGCGTTTCAGGGGTGTCCGGATCGTCCCGAACGGCCGCCAGAGACTCGAGTTGTGGCCCGAAGACTGGGCGGCGAGGATCACTGAGGCGTAGCGTTAAGTCGGGCCTGTCCCTCTATAGGGAGGAGATTCAAAACTAGTCGAAAAATAGTCTGGGGACGATTTCTTAACCCTTTGGGAGCATGTTCTTTTAGTATTTTGGGGGTATTTTAAATTCTTCGTCCCAAATCCGCCTGTAGGGGGACATGCCCGACCTAAGCGCAGCGGTTTGGGCTTCAGGGCTTGGAGCTCAGCGGCTCCGCGGCTCGGGCTCTCCGGCGTGGGCTCGGCGGTTCCGCCGCTCGGGCGTGGCGGCTCGGGCACGTCGGCTTGAGATCCGCGGCTTGGCACCGGGCTTCGAAGGCCCCTACACACCACCAGCACCATGGTGAGCATTTTTACTCGGCGTTTCGACATTGGGCGGAAGGGGGGGAGGGGGGGGGTTGGCTCCGGACCTCTGCTTAGTGCGACTGATTGCAGCAGTGCGCCCTATGGGGGAGAGGCTCCGCCTGCTGGAAACAGGCGCACAAAAACAGCCAAGGTCTACTCCAGGGGAGGGGAGAGGGGACCGAGGGCCTGCCCCGGTCGGCAAAACAACGAATAGAGGAACGATCACATGCCTGGCCAGGGTCATCCTGGGCCCAAGCATGGTGTACAGACCCTCCTGGCCTCGGCCAGGAGGGCGTGCACACCAAGCCAGGGAGCAGGACAGCCGTGGCCAGGCATGGGCATGGGCTCCGGGGGGGCGCCGCGCCGCCGCGGTGGACACCCAGCGCGGACGGTCAAGGTGGGACGCCGCCGGTGGCCCAGAACGGGCCAACATCAAACGATCTGCGCTCTCGGGAAGTTCCGATCGTCGACGGCTGAACGATCCACGCAGCGCCAGAGACCAATGCCGACGTCATCGCGGCGTGAGTTTCCCCTTCCCTTGCTACTGGCCAGTTGTGCTCACACAGGGCACAAGCACTGATGGGACTGGCGAGTGGACCCAAAAGCAGTCAGGGAGAGGGCAGCCACCACGGTGATGATGATAACTTAAACAGGCCAGGCTAGGGTTAGTAAAGAGCTGCTGCGCAGCCAGAGCACAGGTCCGAGCTGGAGAACGGTCGGAAACAGGTTCGACCCAGAGAGATGTTCAGGAACTAGGGCACTGAACTGAGCTGGGATCAGTCGGAGACAAGCTTGAAACAAGGAAGACGTTGGTGACTTTTGTAGAGGATTGAGCCGTAACGGCTGTTGGCAGGGCAAGCGAAGAAAGTTGGTGACAATCAACACGACCGAGCCAAAAACAATGGTGAGCAAGGCCGAACCAATGATACAATCAGCTACCAGGGCACAGGGCCAGGCCATATGCAGTTGGAAGCAGGGCCTGCGAAGGAAATTGCCAGCAACCACATGGTCGAGCCAGGAACAGTTGGAATAGGGTTGGCGAAGGAAGTTGGCAACGACCAGGACACAGATTTGAGCCACGGGCAGTCGGGACGCGGGCCAGTGAAGTTGGCGACAATCAACACACATGTCGAGCCAGGAGCACTTGACATACAGAGCCAGCGGAGGTGGCCACGAGCAAGACACGGGACGGAGCAGGGAACATTGCCGAAAAGGGTTAGCGAAGGCAGTCAGCATCAGCATAGTCACAGAGACGAGCAGGGACCATTGAGGAGTAATTAGGGCCAGCGACGGGAATTGGCATTACATCGAGCGAGCACCCGTTCGTGCAAGCTCTGCTTGGAGAGCCGGTAAGAACCCAGTCAGTGCACAGCTCCCCAAGTGGTCCCAGCTGGCTTCAGCAGGCCCCCCCGAGTGGTCCGGGGCGATCTCGACACCCCGGCGCCGCCTCCAGCGGCGCCCCCTTGGGCGCTCCGCGCCCCCAGGGATGGGGGCGTGGAGACCGCTCTGGGCTGTTCGGGGGGCCTGTGAAGGCCAGACAGGACTGCTCGGGATGCCTGTGGAGGCCAGGCGGGACTGCATGGCAGGATTGTCTGCGCGCAAGCCAAAGCCTCACCAGCGGCGGCTTGAGGTCGCGAAGATCGCCGCGCGTCTCACATCGTGGGGTGCGATCCGCAAAGTCTGGTGGCCTAAATCCAGACCCCCCAAATTGGATCCGAATAGGTCGGGTCGGGGGATCGCGCCGAATCACCGAGTCGAGGGCCATGCGGCTCGACGTGGAGCCCGATTTCCTCCACGCCGACGTCGCCGATGCATCGGCGATGCGGCGTGATCTTCGGACCCATCCATTCGGACCCCGTTTGGGAGGCCTCCACGAAAGGAAGGAGACCCGGACCCCAAACGTCGCATAAGAGGCCGAAGATCATTGCAAAGTCTTGCATCGCGACGCTGGCACGAATCGAGGGTGTCTGGGAAGGGGGAGGGCCCGTGCGAGGGATCCATACGGATGTAGGGCGGTTTGTTCGCGGACGCTCCGCGCGGAACGTTTTCACGCGACCGCGCATCCACGGGATCGCGCCCCAGAGTCCAGACCGCGAGGGCGTGGATCGGGCGGGTGGCACCGGGGAGGAACCGAACATAGGGGGGGGGGAGAAACGGGTTCCAAAGGACCCCATGTAGGGCCCTTCACCCCCCATTGAGGTCACCCTCCAGTACCACCCGCCCAAGTGGATCTGGATGTGTTCGCCGCTCGTGCAGGATGGGGCGGAATCTCTCCGGGTCCCCCCCTGCCTCTTGGGGGGCCACCCGAGGGACGGCGAGCTGCCCGGAGTCATCAGGCGAGGCGCCTGCCACGGTCGGGGGTTTCGAAACACCATTCGCCCGTTCTTCTTACTTCCCCTTTCCTCCTTCCTTCCTCCTCCTCTCCTACTCCCTCCTCCTCCGATCCTACTCACTCCCCACGCACTGCCTCTGCCCTGCACCCTTCTCCACCCCCGCCGCAGGAGAAGCACGAGGACGAAGAGGAGGAGAAGAACGAGGAGGAGGAGGAGGAGGAGGAGGAGGAGGAGGAGGAGGAGGAGAGAGCAGGAGGGAGCAGGAGGGGAGGATGGGAGGAGGAGGGAGTAGGAGGGGAGGGGGAGGGCGGGGAGAAGGAGGGGAGGAGGAGGAGGCAGACAATGAGGAGGAGCAAGACACACTAGCGACATGCAATTCACCCTCCCTCACAGCTCCCTGATCATATATCCCTACAGGAAATCTTCCAGGTAACAAGAAACATGCCATAGCGCGACAGCTTTACATTGCAAACTTTCCAGGACCTGGGCACCCCTCAATTTCCAAAGCTATGCAGTCCTGCATAGTGCCAAAACGCCGCTCTTGGGATGTCAACATCACGAATCCACGTGACAGCTGCGACCTGACAATCATGAATCGTGGCAGACTCCCACCGGTTGAATTTCAACCTTGCGAAGTGGTGCTGCCGTAAAGACCCTCAGCGCGAATGCTCGCGGCGCGAATGCGAAAGCCCCATGGTGAAGACGGCCCGCCCTCCATCTTCGACGCTGCTGCAAACGTGAATGTGCGCGGCGCTAGGCGAGAGCTCCATCTTTCAAGGACGTAAAAAGCGCCCCTACCCTGGTTTACGAGGCGCTGTGCGCTTAACCTCCTGCGGGCTGACAGGGTGAACCCTGCACATCGCGCGTGTCGCGCGGCGTCATGGCGGGTCTCTGGCCTTTGGAGCTCCCAGGAGGCTTACAGACCAGGCACTTGTAACCCAGGGTAGGTCAGGGGCAACGATAGGGGGTGATAGGCAGAGAGGGAGATGCATCGACCCCCAATCGCCCATTGATCGCCGATAGGAATCCGATAGCCCCAACCAGCCCAGGAAGGTGCGGAATCACTATCGGGGGCCCATCGCCGATCTATCGGCGATGTATCGCCGATTCCAGGTCGATGCATCCACCCCTATGCCTATCCTCCCCTATCGTTGCCTCTCGGTGGGGGCCTTCTTTTTATCCCTCAAATCTTGAGAGCGACCCGCCCAGCAGCCTGCAATCGGCGTCACCCCAACATACTTCTACTATATATGCGTCGCCCCCCCAGGGGCGCAGCGCACACCGAGATGTCTTATAGTGTATGCGTCGTGGCGGGCGCTTTCTGGCCACACCGCTCGGGAAGCAATATACTACAAGATGGGTCTACTATATGTTCCGGTCGGACGCGCGCCTCCAAGGAGGACATATAGTATTGGTATGTCTTTGCGAGTCCCACTCGGATCCTGAGAACGACCCGCCCAGCAGCCTGCAACGTGTTGCACGCGTGAGGCTCCGGGTCCCAGGCGACGAGGGAGTCCTGGGCGAAGCGCAGGGCCCGGCCTACTGACACGCTCGGGGACGCGGCAGGGAGGAGCTGCTCAGTAAAGAGTCGGGCCTGTCCCTTTGCACACTGTTCATGTCTAAGTCTTCGAAGTTCTTTGATTTTTTGTGGGGGGCAAGATCCTTTCATTTCTAATTCTTCTTCCTGGGACTCTTCCTGGCCACCAGGGGGCCAGGAACAATTAGACACGAGCAGAATTAGAAATGAGCACAATTAGAAATGAACGACGTGTACAGGAGGAATATTCAAAAATAGTCAAAAATAGTCTGGGGGCGATTGTCTCGACTATTGTTGGCCCTTCTTGATCATGTTGGGACTATTTGATATTCTTCGTCCAGAATCTTCCTGTAGGGGGACACGCCCGACCTAAAGCTACTCGCAAGGAAGAGGGACGGAGGAGAGGGGGGAAGGGTGGAGAGAAGAGGAGAGAAGGACAAGCTGGGTGCGACCGCACCAAAACTGGCACTGTGCCCCTCCTACGCATCCCCTTGTCCCTGTGCGTTGGATCCTGTTTCTGTCCGCCGGCGGGAGTGGTTTGGAGGACCTTGATACCCAAATGGTGGATGCAGGATTCGACCCATCGATTGTTGTGCACATGGGCGGGGGGATGCACATAGCGGGAGGAGGCGGATGGAGGTGAAGGCGGGGGGGAGCAGGAGAAGCACCAGGGTTATGGAAAGGCGGAGGTGGGGGACGGCAACGGCGAGGACGAACTCGGAACCAGCAGTGTGGCCCGCGCTGGGGCGAGAGCGCCTTTCAGAACGACGGAAGCAAGGCAGCAGCGACCCTGGAACGTGGCCAACGCTGCAGCAGGAGCTGTTCGTTGGCCGGGCCGAATAGGTTCTGGTTGGAACGCCAGTCGCCAGTCACATCGGAAATGCCCGTGTGTTTGAAAACCTGGCGTGCGGGAACACGCTACGCGAGGAAAGTGGCGGAAGGACGCTGGCACACTGTCAGGGGAGACGGGGGCACGACGAACAGTGGGTAGAGTGGTGGGTCCACCCGCTCGGGGCGGCTGGAGAACCGGGGCGGGGGCACACCTTCCTGCACACGGGGAACAGGGGGGTCCTCGCCTTCCCCTTTTCCTCCTTCTTTGCTTCCTCCTCCTCATCCTCCCCCTCCTCCTCGTCCTCTTCCCCTTCCTCCTTCTCATCATCTCCATCAGCTTCGTAATTAACCCTACTCCCTCTCCCTCCCTCTCTCGTTATCCTCCTGTTCCGTTGCCATGTTGGCTCCAGACCCAACATTGTGAAGGGTCATAGCCGCCCGAGAAGCAGCGATTAGTTCTGGCCCTAGCGCATCAAGTGTTCGAGCTTTCGGGCCACAAGTCAGCTCCCAGTCAACTCAGACATTGACCAGCAGTCATTCGCACCCCGCGGTCTCTCCGATGGCTGCCCACTCTCCCAGCGCCGCCGCATGGGAGGGCGCAGGCATGTCGCCCGTTGATGACGGATGCGAAGATATCGATCTCACCAGCCGATCAGGCGGTCTTGGCCCCATCGAGCTGATCCCAGCAAAGTCGAGTGATTCCTCTCCTCGTTCGCCAGCCGCGGGAGTCGGTCGACTGCCTGGCGCTACTCCTACGCCCGTAGGCTCGTTTGCTCCAGCCTCTCCGTCAGGCGACGTCGGCCCGATGGACCTGCTGCGCATCATGGACAACAAGCTCTCGAACGCCCGCACAACAAAGGACACGAGCAACGTGCAGAAGCGGCTCGCGTCGCACGACGAGCACTTCGCCAGCCTGGAAGCCCGCATCGCCAAAATTGGAGACGGCACCTCAGAGCGGAGCTCCGCCGCCGCGGAGGCCGCAATCATGGTCAAGTTAGAAGCACGGAAGGAAGCAGGATGCCTCGCGCGCCAGGTTCGCTCAGTCTTCGGCCAGCTCGTTCGCCACCTCGGGGAGCTTCAAGTGCCGCGCCGTCAGCGCCGACGCCCCCGCCCCAGCCGCGTCCGCCCAGGACGCTGACAAATGCAAGATCTGTATCGGAGGGTTCCCTCGCCGCGTTCTCGGTTCTGTCCTCCGCGCCCACTCCGAGCTCGCTCTGAAGAGCTTGCCGCCCGCCTACCGCAACGATGCGGATATCGCCGCTAAGACCATGCAGGTGAGTTGCTCCATCCGCTTCGCCACCTCCGCGATCGCTAGCGATGTTGCCCAGCAGATGAAGAACACCGTCGACTGGATCGACCCCCCGCACCAAGGCCTCCGCCAAGTTGCGCCGCCGCCCCGACGCGTCTGCCAAAACGCGCGCACGTCACAAGGCCCCCCCGGGCACCTCTGGCAAGCCGGTAAGCCGCGCTGAAGCACATGAAGGGCGACAATTGGTGGAAGCCCTTTTACCGATTGTGGTGCAATGTCCCTCCCAGGATATGTTTTACCCTGTTCTCGGACGATGACGTTGAAGTCCTGGCCTCTCTCGTCAACGTCGACGAAGACGGGCACTCGCTTGAGATGAAGTGCAGCAGCATGGAGACCTTCGGAACCAACCGCGCGAACGCCGACAGGATTGCCGCCTTCGCCACCGAATAGGGGTTCACAACAACATTCAAAGGGGTTCCCGACCTTCTGTCGCTTGCGAAGATGCCGCGCAGGGTTTGCAGGCAGCCGCGCGCGGGGCGCGCGGCCATTCCTGCGCCGCCCTCCTCCAGCAGCAGCCCTTCATACACTTCTTCCTCTTCACCACATTCCGAGTCCGATCCGGAGGCCAACCCCTTCCTCGTCAACTTCCTCGTTGCCGCGTTTTCCCGCCCCCTCAGAATCGTCGATCAGCACTCTGTCGCGCCCTGGAAGGCCCATCGGCTCTCCCATTCGGCCAGGTCCAACCACGGGCTCACCGAGAAGAGAATCGATTCCGGAAAACGGCATGTCTCCCAGCACCACTTCGTTTGCCCGTTGGAATGCGGGGGCCCAGAATCTTCTCTTCCTCCTCCTCATCGGGCCACGTACGGCCCCGGGGGAAATCGTGCAACACCACTTCGTTTGCCCGTGGGAAACTCGGGGGGGCCAGAAAGAACGCGACTTCCTCCTCAACGAAATCCACGGTGCCCGGGGACCCGGCGCATTCTTTCAGGCCCGTGACGCCGGCGGCCCCATCATTCCTATCAGCGAGGCTCTTTGTCGAGAAGTTCAACGCGTCCGCCATTCTTTCGCGCAGCCACACCGAGCCTTGCAAGTTGCGCTGTTCGGTGGCAAAGGCACTTTCCAGATCATGAATATCCATGACACCCTGACAACCCCGACCGCCGCCCAGAAAATGTTCTTCAGCAAGGTTTCCCAGGAGATGGCCCCGACCTCTCGGGGCCTGAGTTGCACTGCGAGAGCCTGGAATTGTTGTCTGGAAGGGGAGCGCTCGCAGCAATATCATTGGGATGCTTGTCCCTATTAAAACTGATATCGTTAGACACGTCGCCCATCTCGCCGCGAGGCATGTCGACATAATTCGGAAAATGCACACCCATCGCGTTGTGCAAGACGACGCTCTCGTCTCCGTCGCCCGCCCCGTCCGCATTTTGCGCGGCGCGCCCGCCGCGGGGCTGCTCGACGCGCAGCCCGGCGTGCTGACGACAGGTGATGTGTGGGACCGTAGTCCACTGTTTGATCATGCACCAGCGCGTCTGGCCCGTGCCCAGCGCCCTGTCCCCCCTGGATCTTTCAAGCCTCCACGGCGGGTTCCACGGCACCCTGATCCCCCCCGCGTGTTCGAGGAAGCGCTGCTGGACGCTGACGAATTCAGCCCCTGACACTCGGGACCGATTCAAAGAATCCAGAGATATCTTCAGATTCGCCGCCAGGACTCGGACAATTCGCCTTGAGACCCGCGGAGCCAGGTCTGATCCCGAGAAGGTCGCCTGACGCCTGGCCCTCATGCGCGCCGCGCGCGGGAGAAACTTCGCCCGTGCCAAACGCGATCGCCGCGCACGCCCCTCATGGCCCCCATTCCTGGATCTGGACAACCTCCTCTGGAATGATCTCGACGGGCTCCGCGGGCGCGCGCCCACTCCGCAGCATGCCCATCCACGGCGTGAAATTCGGGAGTCGGAGCGCGACGAGGACCCGCCACCTGCCAGACGTCTGGCTCTACAGCGCCAGCTCTACCGGCACTGATCGGCTCGGTTCGTTTCGCCGGCACTTTGGTCCCCCGGGGCCTCGAAAGCCTCGACCCTGAAGAGTCGCCAAACGTCCAGCCCAGCATCGGAGAGATGTGCACCATGGTCACGCCTGTCGCCCTGGTCAGCTGGAGCAGATTCGCCCGTTTGCGCAGGGCGCCCCGCCCGTGCCAGAGCGGAAGACCACGCGCGACGAGTTTCACAGCATCTTCGAGCGGGCCATTCCCCAGTCGGCGTTTAAACTGAAAGGGGTCTTAGCGGACACTGAAGAGATCGGCGACAGTAGCCGGCCGATTTCGGCGGGCGGCTCTCGGCGGGCGCCTCCTGCGCAACACGTTCGGCGACGCTGATTCCGCCACGCCGAGCTACGAAGAGTCCGGCGAGATGAGCGAGCACGAGGCGAGCGGCCCCGCACACATGCAGCAGCTCCCCTGTTCCAGCGAGCGTCTGGCGCTCAGCTTCTGGCGTTCCGCGTCCTGCTCCCTCGGCCCCCATTGATCTTCCGCCCCCTCCTGCTCCCCCCCCACCCACCTCCCCTGCCCTTCCCCCTCCTCCCCGCCCCCATTCACCCCCCCCCCTGCAACGCCCCCCTCGTTCCATCCCCCTTCTCCCCGTGCACCTCACCCCCCCGAATCACCCCTCCCGCGCGCGCCTGCCCCATGACCCCGCACACTGAGGCGAGTTGTCTGAGGCGCCAGGAGACGATGGCACAGCATCACACGGCGCGCACAGCTCCACGTCGCACGACGCGGCGCAAGGCCGAGCCGATCCGATCCGATCTCCCCCGCCCTCCCCGTCACCCACGGGGCAGCGGGGGCCGCTCGGCGAAGCTGCGTTTTATGAGCTCGGCGGATTGCTGCTGCGCCTGGCGAGCTGTCTCTCCGCGCGGCGGTGGCAGCCGCGATTCGCAATCTCTCCTCGGAAACAACCGAACACAAACACAGGTAACAAAAACAAAAACAAATCTTGGGGGCAGAGGGGCCAGGGGACATGGCAGCAGCCCTCGCAGGCGCGCAAGTTTCGCGCGCTCTGCAGGCTGGGCTGCCCGCGTCCACGGCCGTCGGCTCCGCCGCCGAGGCTGCCGAGCCAGGCGCGGCGCGTTCGCCGGCGGTCCCCGCGGAGGCGTGCCATTTCCCCAATTGGAAGCATTTGTTCTTCAGGTTCTGGCGAGATTACCTGCGTGGAAGGGGGGGAAAGGGCGGGCGTGGCGAGGCCCGAAAGGAATGTTGGAGCTCACGCAATGCGGAACTCACTTGCACGCGTTTCCGGCCCAACGCTGCTTGAAAAGGCAGGGGAGGGGACGGGGGGGGGAGTGCCACGCAAGTAAACCCGCCAGAGTCTAAAGAAAATCGCCTTCTTGTCGTTCCCATCAGCTCGAGAAGGTTGACTCATCTTGCCCAAACAGTGCTTGCACTTAGGTTACTTATTCGCGTTCTAAGGTAACTGGGCTCTGGTACCGGTCTGGCCCGCTCATCTCCGCCCGCCGCCGCCGCCCGTCGCCGCCAGTGGCACTCGTCCGCTCGCATTGCACAGCATACAACTGCTTACCGCAACACAGCATAGCTTATCTAGCTCAGCTAGCTTACCTAAGAATAGCATAGTATAGTACATAAAGGCACGGCATAGCATAGGATAGCATGGTGTTACCAGCGCGGGGCCACTTAAGATTGTACTGCATTGATTGCATTGATTGCCCCGCATTGACTGGCACTGCATGGATTGCACTGCGTTGATTGCGTTACGTAGGTTGCATCGCACCTTTCACAATGCAGAACATCCCAGAACACATTGTTTGGGGTCCACGTTGGCTAGCATGCTAGCATGTCCCTTTGGAGAAACAGTTTTCTCAAGAAGGTGGTTGTTCCCTTCCTTCGAGAGGGGGGGAACAAGCATAAGTTAGCGTACGATGGGCGGTTGGGGACAGTTGCATCCCCGACGTGACAACGTGGAGGTATAATTGTTCCACCCGCCTTGGGACTGGGTCCCGATGGCGGAAAAGTTGACGTTGTACCGTTCGTCGTTCGCTTAAACGAAATTGTTAGCGATCTTCAGCGTGTGGTGGGGGCCCGTTTCGGACCCCAGAACCGTCAGATATCCGTCCATTGTGAAAGATCGGCCTGGATTCATCTCAAGGGGGCGTCTGGAGCCGATCCTGACCAGACACTGGTCGGCACGAAAAAGGACACGAGGACCGACCCTCCCCCACCCACTCATTCACCCCCCGACCCATCTCCGCATCTGCGTTCCCCGTCGGTCTCCACTCCACTCTTCTCTCTTTCCCTGCCGTCCCCCTCCCCCTCCTCATCCTCCTCCTCCTCCCCTTCCCATTCCGTTCCCGTCCTTATCCCGCCCCCATCTCCTCCACCCTCCCCGTCCCCCTTCTCCCAGGTTCTCCCTTACCAATCCCCCCGCCATCCCTTGCCCACCGACCCCTGTTCAAAAGAAGAATCCGCCACCGTGCTCCCTGGCACGTTGAGGCGTGCTAGAATGCCAAGTTCTGTCTGGCAGGGGTTCTGCAATCTTCTATAAGAACCCCCCCTCTGGGCAGCACCGCGTCGTGTGCACCGGCCATGCTCCCGGGGGGTCCTTGGGCACCTGGGGCTCTCCAAGGCTTCCATTACAGCCCAGAATGCCCCCAAGACGGTCCAAGAGGGCCCCGAGTCACCGAACGATCGCTCGAAGACGCACGCCCAAGATGGCCTCAAGATGGCGCAAGAGGCTTCCAAAGCGCCTCAAGAGGCCTCCAAGAGGTTTCCAAAGAGGGCCCCCAAAGGCAAAACATTTGTTTCGCGTTTTGAAGGATTTGGGCGTTCTCGCCTTTTCGGCTTTGCGACGCTCCAAGACGGCCCAAGAGGCTCCAAGATCAGCCCAAAACGGCCGAAGAGGCCTCCAAGAGGGCCCCAAGACGGGCTAAGAGCGCCCCAAGACGGCCAAAGAGGCGCCCAAGACGGCCCAAAAAGGCCAGGCCCCAAGACGGCCCCAAAAGGGGCCCCAGAGAGGGAACACGAACCGAAAGTCCAAGACTTCCGCCCCAAGGGCCAGGATGCCCCAAGAGACGCCTAAGAGGCCCCAAACAGACCCCAAGAGGCGAGTGAGCGTGGTAGAGTGAATCCAGCTGCCTACGGCAAGTCCCGCCACCGTGCCTGGATTGTGGGTAATAAGCCTAGTGGATGTTCGTTGTAATCTTGTGGGAGGCCTCTCGGGGGGCCTCTTGGAGGCACGTTTGCAGCCTCTTGGGGGCTTGTTTGGGGCCTCTCAGGTGCCTCTTGGGGGCCTTCACGAGCCCCGACTTTAACCGCATCCTGGTCGGCAGTGTCATCTATACTTGGTCTTGCCACGTCGCTCTGTCTGGATAATCAGACCCTTCCAGCCCAGCAAGTATCGATCACCACCACCAACCGTTCATCCCTGCCAAATCATGTCATGCGCTGACAAGTGCTCATGCAAAAGGGTTATATGATTCATGCCCGTGAAACAAATCAAAATCAGATCACCTGCATTAGTGCCTCAAGCATCTCAGCATAAAATATGTTGATCTTATGTTGTATCTCTATATATGCAGGTTTGCTAGTCAGAACTATTGCTGCTATTCTGCCGCCGACACCTGCCGAATTCATAGGACGACCATGCGATCGCACACTCAACCAAAGCCCGCATCATCATATCACCACGCTGTGCATCCACGTTGATCTGTTACGCGCCCAGCACACGAAGCCGTATGGAGCAACACCATGCGGGCCACACGCGCGCGCCGCCATGCGCGCATGTCGGAGGTAGTCAACAATAATTGGTGGTCGAAGCATGGCAAGATAGAGCCCCGCAAACACGTGAGACAATCCGATTGGTGTTCAGCGCAGGGTCTGCCAGATGCCTTCCTTGAACATTTGGCGCACGCAGTGCCTGACCACCCGCATCATCGACAACGTCGTCACCTGCATCGGCACCGTCATTGGCCCTGCCAGCATCATCGTCACCATCGTCACCACCATCGCTATTATCATCATCGTTGCCGCCGTTATCGACACCAGTTTGGTACAGCGCTTGAAGGGGGTACCGTCCCGCATTGAAGTGCCCGCACGCATGCGCGGCCTTTGAGACGCGCTCGGAAGCTCCAATCACAAACCAGCTGGTCGCCCGTCGCGTGAGCACGCCCGCTCCAGCGCGGCCGCGGAGACCCGCTAGCAAGTGCCAAGCAGCAACCGCAATTCTGGCCGAAAGGGTTTCTCCAAACAAGTTGCGGGTGGGAGGGTGGGATGTTTACGCGAGCAGGCGAGTTGACAATTCATTATTGTTTTGCCGAGTTGACCCGAATAGGTTGCACCACGTAGTTCGCGAACCACAGAATGTACCACGAGGGCTGCACCATACGTCTTGCGCCACATAGATTGCCCCACATGGGTTGCGCTCATAGATTGCACCACACAGCTGGCACCCCATTAGCTCATAGGGCACATCCCCGGAGCGCAAGAACTCCATCATTCAGTCTTCGGGGTTCACGCTGGCAAACATCACGAACGTAACGTAAAATACATAAGTCCGTGGGGAATAGCACAGATATTACATGCACGAAAGACGTGTTAATCTATGTTATACACATACTGGGGGGACCAGGTCCAGGGGCCCAGGGGCCACGACCTCTGCCACAAACGGGAGTGTGCAGGCCCTTGGGGGGGCCCCAGAGGCCCACGGACGCCACCAGAGCGCCAGGAGAGCCCGAAGAGAGCCGTCGCGGGTGGGCTGCGGCAGGATGGCGCGAAGAGGGAAGAGGGAGGAGGAGGAGGAGGAGGAGGAGGAGGAGGAGGAGGAGGAGGAGGAGGAGGAGGAGGAGGAGGAGGAGGAGGAGAAGGAGGGGCCCACGACGCCCACAGGCCGCTCCAAGACGCACAGCCCGCTCCGAGACGCACGAGGTGGTTCCCAAGACACCCCCAGGAGGCCTCCCGGACGCCTCCTGCGCACCAGGAGGCCTCCTGCGGCAGGCCTTCCCAGAGGCCCCCAGGAGGGTGCTTACCGAGGAACGCCGTGTGAGAAAAGAGCTCTACGAGTGCCCCGGCGGTAACCTGGTTGACGGTTTACCGCCGGTTTCCAGTTTGAGACGAGCGCAGGGATACGCGCAATGCGAGGGGTGCGCTTGTGCGACGAGACGCGTCCGCGCGCGCGTCCCGCGCTTGGCCATCCGGGTTTTTCCCGGGGAGCTCTCTGAGAGCTATAGGGTTTCAGATTTGAAGCCGGTCGTTGGTGGTGCCATTCCCTGGGCGAAACACAAATGTTTCGCATATTTGCTTCGTTTGCTTTCACAGCGTCCAAGACGGCCCAAGTGGCCCCCAAGGCTGCCCCACAGGCTCCCCAAAACGATCCCAAGAGGGTCCCAAGACGGTCCGAGAGGCCCCCAAGACAGCCCAAGAGAGCCCCAGAACAAGCCCCAGAGGGGTCCCTTCAAATTCCAAGTGTTCGGCTCCAGAGGTCCCCAGGAGGCCCTCAGGAGGCCCGAAGAGGCCCCCAAGAGGCCCCAACAGGCCCCCAAGAGACCCCCAGGAGGCTCCCAAGATGCTTCCAGGAGGCCCCCAGGAAGGCCCCAAGAGGCAGACTTCGCCCCATTCCCTAAGGGAAACGTATATCTTTCGGCCATCTATATTTGTTTGGCTTGCACAGCGTCCAAGACGGCCCAAGAGGCCCCCAAGAATGCCCCACAGGCTCCCAAGAGGGCCCCAAGACGATCCCAAGAGGGTCCCAAGAGGGTCCGAGAGGACAGCCCAAGAGAGCCCCAGGACGAGCCCCAGAGGGGTCCCAGAGGTGGAACACCATATTCAAATTCCGAGCTTTCGGCCCCAGAGGTTCCCAGGAGCCCCAAGAGGCCCCCAGGAGGCCCAAGAGGCCCCCAAGACCCCCAGAGGCCCCCAAGAGACCCCCAGGTGGCTCCCAAGATGCCCCCAGGAGGCCCCCTGGAGAGCCCCAAGAGGCAGACTTCGCTCCGTGCCCAAAGGGGGACGTATGTGTTTCGCGCCTATGTTGGCTTTCACAGCGCCCAAGACGGCCCAAGAGGCCCCCAAGAGGGTCCCAAGACGGCCCGAGAGGCCCCCAAGACAGCCCAAGAGAGCCCCAGGACGAGCCCCAGAGGTACCAGAGGTGGAAACCCATATTCAAATTCCGAGCTTTCGGCCCCAGAAGCTCCCAGGAGGCCCCAAGAGGCCCCCAGGAGGCCACCAAGATGCCCCCAAGCCCCAACAGGCCCCTAAGAGACCCCCAGGAGGCTCCCAAGATGCCCCCAGGAGGCCCCCTGGAGAGCCCCAAGAGGCAAACGTCGCTCCATTCCTCCAGGGAAATGTATATTGTTCGGCCACATATTTCTTTGGCTTTCACAGCGTCCAAGACGGTCCAAGAGGCCCCCAAGACTGCTCCACGGGCTGCAAGACGACCCACGGGTCCCACGACGGCCCGAGAGGCCCCCAAGACCGCCCAAGAGAGCCCCAGGACGAGCCCCAGAGGGGTACCAGAGGTGAAAACCATATTCAAATTCCGAGCTTTCGGCCCCCAGGAGGCCCCAAGAGGTCCCCAGGAGGCCACCAAGAGGCCCCCAAGTGGCCCCCGAGAGACCCCCAGGATGATCCCAAGAGGCCTCCAGGAGGCCCCCAGGATGATCCCAAGAGGCTCCCAAACTGCTTCAAATACGCCCTTGAGAGGCCTCTCTCGCTCTTTCTCGTTATCTTTGTTGGTGTTTCTCTCTCCCTCTCTCTTTCTCTCTCTCTCTCTCTCTCTCTCTCTCTCTCTCGGTATTATCTCTCTCTCTCTCTTTCTCTCTCCATGTATGTATATATATACACACACATTATCCCGGCAAAGCAACCGAACAGCGATGTGTATAAGCATATCTGGAAGCATTCCCTTTAAGATTCAGGTGAGAATCCAGTTGTAGAATTATGTTGTTCTCGCAGTCGCAGTCGCATTCGCAATGGCAGTCGCAGTGACAACGGCATTAGGATCCAATGGGATCCTAAGGATTTCGAGGGATTCCTAAGGCATCCTTAGGCACCCTTAGGGATCCATAGGGATCCTTAGGAAACCTTAGGAATCCTTAGGGTTCCTGATTCCTAGGGGTTCATAGGGATTCCGAAGGATACCTGAGGAATCCTAAGGATTCCTAAGGGTTCCTGAGGATGCTTAACTATGCCTACGGATGCCTAAGGATGCTTACGGATTCCTAAGGATTCCTATGAAATCTTACGGATGCCTCAGCCTGCCTCAGTTTCAGCCTCAGCCTCAGCCTGCCTCGGCTTGCCTCAGCCTCAGCCTCAGCCTGCCTCGGCCTCAGCCTGCCTCAGCCTCAGCCTCAGCCTCAGCCTGCATCAGCCTCAGCCTCAGCATGTCGCAGCCGCAGCCTGCCTCGGCCTCAGCCACAGCTTCAGACTCAGCCTCAGCCTGCCTCGGCTTGCCTCAGCCTCAGCCTCAGACTGCCTCAGCCTCAGCCTGCCTCAGCCTCAGCCTCAGCCTCAGCCTCAGCCTCAGCCTGCCTCGGCTTGCCTCAGCCTCCCCTCCTCCCCCCCCCCTTCCCCCCCCATTCAGCCTCACCTTGTCTCAGCTTCGGCCTGCCTCGGCCTCATCCTCAGCCTCAGCCTCAGTCTCAGCCTCAGCCTGTCTCGGCCTGAGCCTGCCTCGGCCTCAGCCTCAGCCTGCCTCAGCCTCAGCCTGCCTCAGCCTCAGCCTCAGCCTCAGCCAGCCTGCAGCCTCAGCCTGCAGCCTCAGCCTGCCTCGGCCACAGCCTCAGCCGCATCCTGCCTCAGCCTCAGCCTCAGCCTGCCTCAGCCTCAGCCTGCATCAGCCTCAGCCTCAGCATGTCGCAGCCGCAGCCTGCCTCGGCCTCAGCCACAGCTTCAGCCTCAGCCTCAGCCTCAGCCTGCCTCAGCCTCAGCCTCAGCCTCAGCCTCAGCCTCAGCCTCAGCCTGCCTCAGCCTCTCAGCATCAGCCTCAGCCTCAGCCTCAGCCTGCCTCAGCCTCAGTCTCAGCCTGCCTCAGCCTCAGCCTGCCTCAGCCTCAGCCTCAGCCTGCCTCGGCCTCAGCCTGCATCAGCCTCAGCCTCAGCTGTCTCAGCCTCAGCCTGCCTCAGCCTCAGCCTCAGCCTGCCTCGGCGTGCCTCAGCGTGCCTCAGCCTCAGCCTCAGCCTGCCTCAGCCTGCCTTGGCCTCAGCCTGCCTCAGCTCGGGCATTCAAAATATGCCACAGGACTGGTGTTCTGGGAACACGAAGATCACAAAGTGTCCCACAGTTGGCTCTGGGCAATCAAAATATGGTACAGGAATGGTGTTCTGGGAGCACGAAGAACACGAAGTGGCCTACAGCTGGCTCTGGGCATTCAAAATGTGGCCTGGGAATGGTGTTCTGGGAACACGAAGAACACGAAGTGGCCTACAGTTGGCTCCGGGCATTCGAAATGTGGCCTGGGAATTGTATTCTGGGAAGACGAAGAGCACGAAATGGCCTACAGTTGGCTCCGGGTATTCAAAATGTGGCCTGGGAATGGTGTTCTGGGAACACGAAGAACACGAAGTGGCCTACTGTTGGCCCTGGGCATTCAAAATGTGGCCTGGGAATGGTGTTCTTGTTCCGGGCAGTCAAAGTGTGGGATGGGATAGGGTTTTGGGGAGTCCCCGGATTCCCCCGGCATCCGCCCAGACCCCCTTGGGGAGTCAAGATGCTCTCTTTCGACTTTAATAGAAACCTATCAGTCTTCGCTGTTAATTAGGTAACATATCGATGTCGATATCGGAGTGGGCCGGGTGCGGGGCGGGCCGCTGCCTGTACCCCCCTTGGGCGCCCCCAGGAGGTTCTGGGAGGTCCCAGAGCTCCCGAGACGGCCCAGGCCTGCCCCGCAACAGGCCACGACAGGCCAAGTGGGTCCCAAGAGGGCCCAAGAAAGTCCCAAGAGGCCCCGAAGACGCCCAAGATGATTTCAAGACGGCCGACGAGGACTCCAACGCTCTCCAGGGCGGACTCAAGAGGCTCCCTAAGAAGGCCCTGGGAGGCAAACTGTATTTATTGTTCTAAGGTTTTTGAAGGATTTTATCATTCTCGCTTTTCCCGCTTCCCAGCGCTCCCTCACGGCCTCGGAGGCCCTTCAGACCGCTCCAAGACGGCCCACGAGGCCTCGAAGAGGGCCCCAAGACAGCCCAGGAGGCTCCCCAGACAACCCAAGTGTGCCCCAAGAGGGGGCCCAGAGGGGGACCGCGAACCGATATTTCGAAGTCTCTGGCACTAGAGGCCCCCGTGAGTTCCCCAAGAGGCCCCCAGAAAGCCAGGGAACGCCCAAGACGCCCCGCAACACACCCCAACACCATGTCCCCAGAAAGCCTTCCAGGGGCATGGTTCATCATGGGCCCGAGAGTCTCCGGAGGCTCCGAAGTACCATCGCGCTACGGGAGATTTGTCTGGGAAGTTGACTGGGAAAATGATCGCCTTCTCGCGGCCTTCCGCGGATCGTTTCGCACAAACTTGCACCAAATGCCCTCTTGAACCGACGACGAAGGCGTCGAAGGCGACGAAGCGACGAAGACGAGGACGACGGACGACGGACGACGACGACGACGACGACGACGACGACGACGACGACGACGACGACGACGACGACGGCGCGCCTCAAGAGGCGACGACGACATGATAACAACGACGGCACGCCCCAACAGGCTCCCCAAGACGCCCCAAAAATCCATGTTCCCAGAAGGCCTTCTGAGAACCCGATTCATCAGGACTCCGCCCCCCTGATTACGCAACCATCTTCCAAAGCCTTCCGGAATTCGCCTGCAGGCCTCTGGCCCTAGAGGCCACCAAGAGGCTCCCACGAAGCCCCGTGAGGCGCCCAAGAGGCCCCCAGGAAACCCCAAGAGACCCTCAAGGGGCTCCCAGGGAACGCCCAAGAGGCCCCCCAACACACCCCAAGAAATCATGTCCCCAGAAAACCTTCCGGGGACATGGTTCATCATGGGCTCGAGTCCCCAGAGGCCCCCAAGGGGCCCCCAGGGAACGCCCAAGAGATCCCCCAACACACCCCAACAAACCATGTCCCCAGAAAGCCTTCCGGGGACATGGTTCATCATGGGCCCGCGAATCTCCGGAGGCTTCGAAGTACCATCATGCTACAAGAGAGTTGTCCGAGAAGTTGATTGAGAACATGACTGATCGCCTTCTCGCGGCCCTCCGCAGATCGTTTCGCACAAAGTTGCCCCAAGTGCCTTCTTGAACCGACGACGACGACGAAACAACGAAGACGACGAAGACGACGACGACGACGACGACGACGACGACGACGACGACGACGACGACGACGGCGCGCCCCAATAGGCGACGACGACATTACGACGACGACGACGACGACGACGACGACGACGACGACGACGACGACGACGGCACGCCCCAACAGGCTCCCCAAGACACCCCCAAACCCATGCTCCCAGAAGACCTTTTGGGAACCCGATTCATACGGCCTCCGCCCCCCTACACAACCATATTCCTCGAAGGCCTTTCGGAATGCAGATTGACATGCGTGGACTGTGGTCCACTACTTCAGTGGAGCAATGAATTCGTCAAGGTCTGGGGCCTGCTAGAATCTGAGCGCGCGCGAAGCGCGCGCGATGGTTCTAGTATATATCTATGTATGTGTGTATGTGTCAATGTGTGAATGTATGAATGTATGTATGTCTGTCTGTCTGTCTGTGTATGTATGTATGTATGTATGTATGTAAGTATGTATGTATGTATGTATGTATGTATGTATGTATGTATGTATGTATGTATGTGTGTAGGTAGGTAGGTAGGTAGGTAGGTAGGTAGGTAGGTAGGTATGCATGTATGCATGTATGCATGTATGTATGTATGTATGTATGTATATATGTATATATGTATCTATGTATGTATATATGTATGTATGTATGTATGTATGTATGTATGTATGTATGTATGTATGTATGCATGTCTGCATGTATGTGTAAATGCACATACTTATACACAAACATCCACGTACACTGACACGTGAGCAATGGGTACATCTAGATACACACGAAGAAAACAAACAAAAATGAGGCCGGCGAGGCGGCCGCGCCGGAGGATTGTGCTGCCAGCCGCGCGGGGCCGTTGCAGGCCCGTAGCGCGCGGCCAAAACGTCGTCATGGGGCACATGTCGGCGACCTTCGTCTTCCCCCCAAGAGTTCCCGAGATTCCTGGGAAGGAAATCTTGTTTCCTCCATGATCCTGCTCCTCCGTCCCTCCTCCTCCTTCCTCGCCCTCCCTCCTGATGTCTCCTCGTGTTCCTCCTCATCCCTCCTGCTCCTCCTCATCCTCGTCCTTCCTGCTCCCCCTCCCGATAATATTTTCTCCTGCTCCTCATCCGTCCTCACAATGAATCATTATCTCCTCGTTCTACCTTTCCGCCGTCGTCGCACCATCATCAGCATTACCAGCATCATCATCATCATCATCATCATCATCATCATCATCATCATCATCATCATCATCATCAGCATCATCAGCATCATCAGCATCAGCAGCATCATCATCATCCATCCTCCCATAATCATCATTTTCCGCCGCCGCCATCGTCCTTCCGGACCGTAGTGCTGAATGCCGACGTGGCGCTGTGTTTCATCACCGTGAACAGCGCTGTAGCGTCGGAGTCCGCAGTGCCGGACGATTTGGTGGCCGAGTCCACCGTGGTGGACAACGCGGTAGTGTCCCATTCTTCGGTGTTGCATCGCGACATGGTGTTCGATTCCGTCAGGGGGGCCACTGCGGTAACGTTCGTCCCCGTGGTGCCAGAAGCCGACGTGGTGTCCGCCTCCTTCGTGCTGCCCTGGTGGCGTTCGATGCTGTTGTGTTGGAGAGCGGCGCGGTGCTCGCCTTCGACGTGGTGGACGCCGAGGGCCACCACGTTGTCAACCACGACAGAGCGGAGCACCCCGTTGTTGTCCAACACGCCTGCAGCGAGCGCTGTCATGCTGCCCACCACGACAGAGGTGAGCACCATGTCGGTATAGGTCCTCCCAGAATCAAAAAGCTTCCTAAACATGATTTTTGGGGTTCCGCGCGGATTTCTTGGATCGGCGTTGGGCCCCCTTGGCGGCGCCTCTGGCACCGCCCCTGGCTTTCTCCGCGCGCCAAGGAAAGCGAGTCCAGCGCCGATCCAAGAAATCCGCGCGGAGCTCCGAAAGTTTCCGTTTATGCTTTTGCCGCTCTGTACCAGTCTTGCGGAGTCGTGCGTTACCAAACATGGGTACGGAGAGAATGGGGACAAGACGGGCAGCAATTCCGGTCGGTTGGCCATGGGCGACAAGAGGCCGCTTGCCCAACAGCGGGCATTGCTGGATTTGGACAACATTCTGCCGTTACGCATCGTGCTTTGTCAGTACCCATCTCTGTCGTGCCCGGTAAAGGGTGATTCGTTGGGACAACCGTTACGGTGCTTTGCATCTTCGACCCTGCGGGGGGCCCCGTTGCGGTGTCCACCGCATGGGCGTCGTACACCGCGTCGCTGCCGAACATCGTTGTACTTTGCGCTGCCGCGTTGTCCACGACGGAGTCGAGCACCACGTCGGGACCCAGCAACACGGCTTCGAGGACCACCGTGTCCACCACGACGGAGTTGGGCACCATGTCGTTATGTATCACACCGGGCTCCAGCGCCGCCGCGATGTCCACCATGACGGAGCCGAGCATTTCAGTAGTATCCAGCACTGCGGAGTCGATCATTTTTTTTATCCACTTCGACGGACTCCAACAGCGGGTCGTCAGCCAGCACCACTGAGCGGAGAAGTGCCACGGTTTCCGCGGCGGAGTCGAGCACCACGTGGTTCTCTTCTGGATGGTGCGCGGATTGGTTGTGCTTGATGGCATGGTGACGCTGCCACTCGCAAGAACACAGTGCTCATGTCCATTGGCTCCGCTTTCTGAGGTCCGCCGCGGCGGCCTCCGCCGCTGCGCCTGCCTGTTGGTTGTTGCTGCCATGACCCGCTCGGGGGTCTGCGGTTTCCCGCGTTGGTTTGACGTGCGTCGGAGCCTCACCCTCCTCCCCGTCCTCTCGTCCAACTCGTGCACGACTACGCGCTCAGAGAACTCTACGTTTTCTTGCTTCCGCGGGTCAGCCCGCACGCGCCAGGTTCAGCTGCAGGCTTGCACGTCTGCGGTACGCCTCGCCCCTGCTTTTGTAAAGCCAACCTGACATACCATGGATACCGTGGCAGGTGCATGTCTGCATTCCTTGCAATACCTCGGTCCCTAATCCAGATGGTTTGCAGGCCTGTGGAGCCTCGGGCTGGGCACAGGTTGCGGCTGGTGTTTGTTCTGCGGTACCTCTTTGTTTGTTGTGTATCTCTCTCTCTCTCTCTCTCAATATGTCTCTCTCTCTCTCTCTCTCTCCTCTCTCTCCCTAAGTTCCTCTCTCTTTGTATATAGTTGTCTCTGTCTGCAATGTTAAATGTCTCTCTCTCTCTCTCTCGTTTCCTCTCTCGCCCCCTCGCTCTCTCTCTCTCTCTCTCTCGTTCTCTCTCTCTCTCTCTCGTTCTCTCTCTCTCTCTCTCTCTATAGTTTGCTCGTTCTCTCTCTCTCTCTCTCTCTCTCTCTCTCTCTTTCTGTCTTTCAATTCCCATCTCTCGCTGTCTCTCTCTCTCTCTCTCTCTCCCTCTCCTCGCTGCAACCCGCGGATTAGCAGAAACGGTGACATGTTCTACAATGTGTCGCGATTGTCCCACCCCCCTCTATCTTTCTCTCTCTCTCTCTCTCTCTCTCTCTCTCTTTCTCTCTCTCCCTTGTTTCCCTCCTGGGCTGCCACCGCGTGGTTTTCAGCTAATCAGAGGGAATGGTTGGGCCACAGGGGTTATTCGCACAGCGTCCTCGCCCCGCATCGTCTTCCTCCGTCGGCGCGATGGTGCCGAACGATCTGCGATGTTACATTAGACTTCGGTGGTTTGCTCGTGGAATGCATGCGATAATAGAACTGCCTTCTTCATTATTCCTCACCTCTCATCCTTCAGATCCCTCCCCATCCTCCCGCATCCTCCGTCCTACTCCCTCCTCCTCCTCCATCCTCCTCCTTCCTTCTCCTCCTTCCCCATCCCTCCTCCTCCTCATCGTCCCCTGACCTTCACACTCGTCCTCATCCTTCTCCGCCTCCTCCTCCGCCTCCTCCTCCTGCTCCTCCTCCTCCTCCTCTCCCACCCTCCGACCCGGGGGTTGGAGGGCGGGTGACGGGCACGAGAACGGGAGAGGGATTGGGAAGCGGGAAGCGGCAGCGGCGAGGGGGAGGGGCATGGACGCATGGAAGGATAGTTTATCATAGTGTATGGTGAGCCCAGAGTGTGGTAGTTTTCACCGTTGGGGAAGAACATATTGTTCGTAGATCTAGTTGTTCCCCACATGCTTCGTGGGGTTATTGTTTTCTTCTCTGCCGCGTCCCACCCGCACTCACTCACCTCCCTCTTCCCCTCCTCCTGACAGCACTGCTCAGCACAGCTCAGCCCAGCACAGCACAGCACAGCTCAGCTCAGCACAGCACAGCACAGCACAGCTCAGCACAGCACAGCACAGCACAGCTTACCCAATAGGTATGCACCACATACTTGGCACCCACATGAGACATACGTCCATATACGGCCGCACACGCATCATACACATACACATGACACGCCATACACAACACGCACGTGTAGGATGCGCAGGGCACGGCAGGCATGGCCCTTTCTCGACACCCGAGGGAGTGCGTTGGGGGTGGTCCCTGAGCGCCTGCGTTACAGGCGACCTCTGCGTGGCGCTTTCTCGACACCATAGGGGGTGCGCAGGGGGTGGTCCCTCACCGCGGTCTCTATCCGTCCCAGGGTCGCGGGGCGTGGCGGGCGTGGTACGTCCTCCACGCCACACGGGGTGCGCACAGGGTGGTCCCTCACTGCGGTCTCTATCCGTCCCAGGGTCGCGGGGCGTGGCAGGCGTGGTACTTTCTCGACACCACAAAGGGTGCGTGGGGGGTGGTCCCTCACTGCGGTCTCTATCCGTCCCAGGGTCGCGGGGCGTGGCGGGCGTGGCGCGTTTTCGACACCATAGGGGGTGCGCAGGGGGTGGTCATTCACCGCGATCTCTATCCGTCCCAGGGTCGCGGGGCGTGGCGGGCGTGGTACTTTCTCAACGCCACACGGGGTGCGCAGGGGGTGGTCCCTCACCGCGGTCTATATCCGCCCCAGGGTCGCGGGGCGTGGCGAGCGTGGCACCTTCTCGACACCATAGGGGGTGCGCAGGGGGTGGTCCCTCACCGCGATCTGTATCCGTCCCAGAGTCGCGGGGCGTGGAGGGCGTGGCACCTTCTCGACACCATAGGGGGTGCGCAGGGGGTGGTCCCTCACCGCGGTCTGTATCCGTCCCAGAGTCGCTGGGCGTGTTGGACATGGTAGCTTCTCTACGCCACGCGGGGTGCGCAGGGGGGCGTCCCTCACCGCTGTCTCTATCCGTCCCAGGGTCGCGGGGCGTGGCGGGCGTGGTAATTTCTACACGCCACACGGGGTGCGCACGGGGTGGTCCCTCACCGCGGTCTCTATCTGCCCCAGGGTCGCGGGGCGTGGCGGGCGTGGCACTTTCTCGACACCATAGGAGGTGCACAGGGGGTGGTCCCTCACCGCGGTCTGTATCCGTCCCAGGGTCGCGGGGCGAGGCGGGCATGGCTTTTTCTCGACACCAGAGGGGGTGCGCAGAGGGTGGTCCCTCACCGCGGTCTGTATCCGTCCCAGGGTCGCGGGGCGTGGCGGACATGGTACGTTTCTCTACGCCACACGGGGTGCGCAGGGGGTAGTCCCTCACCGCGGTCGTTATCCCACTGCGGTCTGTATCCGTCCCAGGGTCGCGAGGCGTGGCGGGCGTGGCATTTCCTCCACACCATAGGGGGTGCGCAGGGGGTGGTCCCTCACCGCGGTCTGTATCCGTCCCAGGGTCGCGGGGCGAGGCGGGAGTGGCATTTTCTCGACACCATAGGGGGTGCGCACGGGGTGGTTCTTGAGCGCGGCCGTTATCCGTTATGGTCTTTCAGGGCACGGCAGGCGTGGCACTTTCTCGACACCACAGGGGGTGTTCACGGAGTGGTCCCTGAGCGCGGCCGTTATCCGTAACGGTCGTCCAGGGCACGGCAGGCGTGGCGTTTTCTCGACACCACAGGGGGTGCGCACGGGATGGTCCTTGAGCGCGGCCGCTATCCTTTGTGGTCTTTCAGGGCACGGCAGGCGTGGCGTTCTCTCTACACCACAGGGGGTGCTCACGGAGTGGTCCCTGAGCGCGGCCGCTATTCGTAACGGTCGTCCAGGGCACGGCAGGCGTGGCGTTTTCTCGACACCACAGGGGGTGCGCACGGGGTGGTCCTTGAGCACGGCCGCTATCCGTTATGGTCTTTCAGGGCACGGCAGGCGTGGCGTTTTCTCGGCACCACTGGGGTGCGCACGGGGTGGTCCCTGAGCGCGGCCGCTATCCGTAACGGTCGTCCAGGGCATGGCAGGCGTGGCGTTTTCTCGACACCAGGGGTGCGCACGGGGTGGTCCCTGAGCGCGGCCGCTATCCGTGATGGTCGTCCTTGCGGTATCGGCGGGGCAATGGCCACCAAAACATCATTTTTACGTGCTTCACTTCAGCTGTCATCACCCCAGCCATAATATAAGTATGTGGGGTTCCTCGGTAGCGTAATTTGGAGGTTGAGGTGGTACGTCCATCCACCTGCGTGCGGCAAGGCCCGCCACCGAGCCGACGCATTACTCAGTGCGGCGACGCTTCGAACACCGCCCAGAAGGCCGCAACACGTGACATTTCTCGTATCTATTATAGTTCCTTCACGTATCCCCCACCCGCGCATCCAGCAACGATGCCCAGGCGAGTTGCAGTGACCAGGGAAGTGTGGGAGCACGCAGTGGAACACAGAGGGGGGCCAGCGTTCGCAGATCTTTCGAGCAGGCCCAGCGTTCGCTGATCCTTCGATATGGGAGCCTGTTGGCAGCTTGCTTGCGCAATCTTGAGGCCATTTGGGGCGCTCCAGAAAACGCCTCGCCCGCGAGGATCGAAGAAGTTGACATCGCTTTCTGGGCGGAAGTCCAGCGGGCGGGCGGCGGAAGTAAAATGGGAGCGGTTTGGCTGGCGGAGGCCGGCGGAAGCTCGGAGGAATGCGGCGGCCAAAGCCAGCCGTCCCTCCAAGAGATCTTCCGTAGCCCGCCAGTCGGGAGGTTCTGGGGCTCTTTGGGGGCCCTCTTGGTGCTGTCTTGGGAATCTGAATCCACACTCGACCGTGGGGTGAGGGTAGTGGGAGGGAGCGCATGCGCACCTGAGCACTTCGCTGGGGCATGCGGGTATTTTGATGTCATCCGGTCTGGATCCATGAAGGACACACTCACGGTCCCGAAACTCGCAGTTTTGGGTTCGGACAGACTCCCCACGCCAGCAGCAGAAATGTTCTGCAGCAGAGATGTTCTGGTTGGAGCAGAAACATGTGATTGTCGTTGTGTCTCACTGTTGCCCGTTGAGCGAGCCTGCACATGTTTTGGCTGACAGGTGCTGCGCCAGGGCCTTGCCGCGACGCGGGAGGCCTCGGGCACCGCCTGGCTTGAGGCTCTTGGGGTGAAGTTGTGCGGTGGACCTATCCTTTGCTGTTTGCGATTCTTGGATGGTGCACCGTAGCGGCAGTGGATCAGCAGTCTGGGGCGTACTTTCACACATCAGCCCGAGACGAAAAGAAGGACGCGGAGCAGCCGATTGGAAAATGATTGGTGTTGGTGGAAATTCGTTTTTCAGATGTCGGCTGGCACCATGGAGCATGTGGCACAACAGGGCAATTCTGATTATTGCGTTCTTCAGCCGCCTATTGTTTTGTGTTAGTCGCATTTCGTAGATCCCGTAGGCCGAGGTCTGGTGGCTTGAATATGTTTTGATTGCCCCACGCCTTGCGCCGTGTTTTGCACTGTTGCTAGGTGTTGTGTCAACGTGTGGGGGAGTTGGTTGGTGCGATGTCGTAATTTTCAGAGCGGTGCCACGTCGACGCGTTCGGAAACATGTTTGGCCGTACCGCGGAGTGCCGTGTCATCGTGTTCGGGCATTGGTGCGATCATTCCAGTGCTGGCTGTACCGTCCATGCTTGTTCTCGGGAGTTCATGTTGTTGACTTGTGCTGTTCCGTGTTTTGTCCCGCTGTGCCGTGTTAACGGTCGTTGTTGAGTTCTGTCAGCGCCACATTATAGCAATGCAGTTTGGCGGTGGACGTAATCGGAGAGATGGTTACAGTATGTTGTCCGATGCCGTGATTGCGTCGTCGCGTCGTGTGATGATCTAGAGGCCGTCGGATCACCTTGTCATTTGGTTTGGGTTGTGGGGAAGAGTCCTCTTGGATGCCTCCTGGAGTCTCTTCGGGTGCCTCTTGGGAGCCTCTTGGGGACCTCTTGGAGGACTATTGGGTCTTATTGTGCGTCTCTTGGGGGTCTCTTGGGAGCAGGTTGATTGCCGCTTGGGGGCATCTGGGGCATCTTGGGGGCCTCTTGTGTCCTCTTTGGCGCCTCTGGGGGCATCTTTGGGGCCTCTTGGCGGTCTCGGGACCATCTTGGCACTAACTCGGGTCCCGAGGCCAGTTCGTGTTCCCCCCTCTTGGTTTGAAATTTGTGAAAGACGATTCGTTGGTTTTACCAGTGTGGGTTCTCAGGAGAAAGAGACAAAAACAAACAACTAAAACTTCCCGTGTTACAGGTGCACTAAACATGGATCCATTTCGGAGGACATTGGTTTGGTGGAGAGCTGATCACGTTCTCAGGCCATTGCCATCGCAGCACCGCCTTCATCGCTCTACCTGCTGCTGCAAGCTTAGATGTCCTGCTAAGGAAAGAATGTAAAGCCGCCAGTTGTACCCTAAGAGAGTGAGATGATGCCAGCACGTGGGCTCTAACAGTCGGTTCGGGCAACAAGTGTGAGGACATATGTGCGAGGACTCTGGTGCGCATGTGGACCCTCTGCGCGTGCGCGCGTGAGGAACCCCATCTGTGTGTGGTGATGCCCGTGCCGCCCCCAAAGACGCCGACCCCCCAAGACCGCCCCCAAGACCGCCCCGAGACCGCCGAAGAGGCCCCCAAAAGAGCCCCAAGACGGCCCCGGAGAGCCTGAAGATTACCCAAGAGCAGCCCAAACTTGCCCCAGAGAATCCCAGATGAGGAGGCACAAGATGGGCCCCAGAGCGGGAGCGGGAAGCCCCAGGGCGCCCAACCATGGCCGAGACGATTCCAACGTGGCCCAAGAGGAGCTCAAGACGGCAAACTCAGCCCAAAACGCCTCCAAGAAGGCCCAAGACAGCTCCGAAAGATATCCCGAGAGAGCCCAAAGAGGCCCAATTCATTGATTGGCATTGGTTTGTTCGATGTGTGTTTGCTTTCTCGCGTTCTCGAGCTTCCACTACTCGAAGACGGCCGCAGACGCCCCCAAGACCGCCCCGAGACCGCCGAAGAGGCCCCCAATAGAGCCCCAATGACAGCCCCAGGGAGCCCGAAAATAGTCCAGGAGGAGCTCCAGACGGCCCACCCGTGCCTCATCTGAGACTTGAACCTAAGCGCGCGCGCGTAGCGCGCGCGTGGCTCTAGTGTGTGCATATATATATATATACATATAGAGTCACATATACAACGATACATACATATATACATGCGTACGTACATACATACATACATACAAATATACACAGTCACAGACATACATGTCTGTATGTATGTGTATATATAGACATGGATTGTCGGGGGGGCCGCGCGGAGTGTTTGGATCGGCGCCGGATCCCCCTCCTTGGCGCACGGAGCGCGGGGCGGCGCAGGAAGCGCCTTCAGGGGGCTTTAGCGCAGATCCAAGAAATCCGCGCGGGCCCCTATATGTAGTCGCTTCGCTGATGTCGCTGGCCCGTGCAGTACCACTGCTTGTGTGTGGAGGGCGTGGGTACAGCAGATTGCGCACCGCACACCGCACACTATTTGAGGAGGCATACGTAGGAGGAGGGAGAAAAGACGAGGAGGAGGAGGAGGAGGAGCAACAGGGGGAAGGAGACGAGGTGCTCTCCGAAGATTCCCCCGAGGGGTTCTTGAAGGCCTCGGACACCCAAAAGTTCACCCTTTCTGTAGATGTTTTCTTCGACCTCTGCCAGGCAAGGCAGGGGGGAGGCGCCGCTGCCAGCAGAGGCCGCGAGCCTCCGGCCTGGCTCCTGCCCTCGACGCGGGCCTAGCAGGGCTTTCCCCGCTCGGGGCTCGAGAGATCGGCCGCGGATCCGCCGATCTCAATCTGGGTCGCGGCGGTCGCTCGGCTCCTCCGTCCTCCTCCCTCCTTCCGCCCTCCCTCCTCTGCCTCCTCTCTCCTCTTCCCTCTTCCTCCTCCTCCTCTCTCCTCTGCCTCCTTCTTCCCCTCCTCCCTCCTCTTCTTCTTCCTCCTCCTCCTCCTTCTCCTCCTGCTCCTCCTGCTCCTGCTGCCTTGGACAAGGGAATGTGGAGTTGCTAGCGGTGCTAGCCGAAGTGATCGGGTCCCTGGAGTGGCCAGTCACTGGCGACTGGAACATTTCTGCGAGTGAAGTCATTACATCTGACTGGCTAGTGGGGGTGTTTTAGACTAGTTTGCTGTGTCTCAGTGTCTGCTGCCGTACATTTTAAGTTTCCAGTGTCAAGGCGTTGCATGGCTCGCAAGGGTCTCCTGGGCAAGGCCAAGGCATGGAAGCGTCGTGGTCCTGCTTGTCCCTTGGATCTCCCTCCTGGGCCCGAAGGAGAGCCGCAGCCCCCCGACCCGTTTTGGTCTGAAGGCGTCTGGACTTGGGAGGCTGGCGCCACCCCACCAGGGCACCCGGAGGCTTCTCGAGAGTGGCATGGGGCGGCGGAGAAGTTTATAGTGCAGGCTCACGCCATCGAAGCCGACAGGGTGGCTAAGTACGCGGGGCGCGAGAAAGGTTGCCAGTTCACAGAGATGCCGTTGGCCGCGGCCTGGGGCAAAGAGATCAACAGGCGATCGACGGCTTCGACGGCCAAGTGGTTCCAGCTTCGTCGCTCGCTAGCTAGACCAGTTGCTCGCGCTAGCCAGGCATTAAGGAGGCCCGACGGGGGCGACGTGGGGGCAGGTTGCTCGGGATTCTCGATCAGGCTGGCCCTTTCCTTGCGCCTGCCGAATCGGAGGCCCTTCAGCCGCCCGGGGGTAGCGATCTGCTAGGGGGCGGCCTTCGCGATCCCGAGAGGCGCCCGCAGCTGTCTGAGGCGTCGTCGGTAGAAGTTGGGCGCAGGTTGGCGCAGGATGCGGGCAAGGCGCGACGGGCCTGGCAGGATGTCGCTCAGTCTTCGGCCCCCACGGGAGCCCACAGGACCCGCAGATTCGGCGAGGACCCCGAGCTATCGGTGGAGCCTGTGCTGGGGCCCGTGGATGAGGGAGGTCTTCCCCTTGCTGGCCACGCGGGACCTCGAGGAACGCTTGGAGGAGTGGGTCCCCTTCTGGGCCCAGGCATCCCGAGGCCAGGAGCAGCACCCTCGGCCTTGGGAAATCTCCGAGTCTCTGGAGACAAGCTCGGCGGGCTCCACCCCAGGCTGCTTCGTCAAAAGTCGAGGCATGCTGCCAAGAGGTTCGCTGATATGTTAACCGCCTGGGAGAGAAGCCCAGATCCCTCCCAGCTCTGGCTCATTTTGACCGTCTTCCTGTGCGAACCCACGGCAGTGGGGGGTCACCAGACTGCCCCCATTCTCTTTTCTCGGCTCGTTCCAGGGTCCGACAGGGGAACTGCGCGTCCTGGGAGAGAAGCAACGCGTCGGTGCGTTTCAGAGGCCAGAGTCGCTCGGCCTCGTGCGACAAGAGCGCGCGGCTGCACAACGCGTTGGCTGCCTTCGACCGCTTGCGCAGGGTGTCGTATGGTTCGGCTGTTCTAGAGATGTCCAGCTGCCTACGGCAAGTCCCGCCACCGTGCCTGAGCTGTGGCTATGAAGCCTATTGGATGCTCGCGGGATCTCGTGGGAGGCCTCTCGGGGGCTTCTTGGAATCAGTTTTGAAGCCTTTGGGGGGCCGCTGTGGGGGCCTTTTGAGGCCTCTTTTGGGCCTCTTGGGGGCCTCCTGGGGTGCTCTTGGGGCGGAAGGCTCGAATTGTCGGTTCGTGCTCCCTCTCTTGGGCCTCTTTGGGGGCCGTCTGGGGGCCCTCTTGGGGCGTCTTGGGGCGCTGTCAGGCCGTGTTGAGGCCCTCGTGGAGGCATCTTGGGCCGTTTGGGGGTGGTCTTGGGGGCTTCTTGACCCATCTTGGAGCGTCGGAAAGCCAGAAAGGCGAGAACGCCAAAATCCTCAAACACCTGAGGAGAATCAATCATTGTTGCCTCTTGAGGCCCTCTTGGGAGGCCTCTTGGAGGCCTCTTGGGCCATCTTGGGGCCACATGGGCGTCTTCGAGCGATCGGTCGGCGACTCGGGGCCCTCCTGGACCGTCTTGGGGGCCCCCTGGGCTGCCCTGGAAGCCTTGGAGGGAGATCTTTAGGAAGGCGACATGGCCGCCCTGAGACCCCCCCGGGAGTAGCGGTGGCGCAGGTGATTGGGTGCTTCCCGCGGAGGGGGGGGCCTCAGCAGATTACAGAAACCTTGCCAGGTAGCCCTTGGCATTCTTCTACCGGCCCGGATTAGTAGGTCGGCCCTGCCAAATCAAGGGTATTCTGGTGTCCTGTGCCTCGCGACCCGTGCCTCCTGCATCCCTGTGGCAGTGTGGCCCTCGGAAGGGTCTTGTGTCCTCTCGCGTGTCCTGCCCAATCAGGTCCGACTGTACGAGAACAGATCGCACGCCGAACTCGGGGCCGCGGCTGCCCAGGTCGGGATCCTTGCAGAGCTGCCGCGGGGCCTTCGCTGTCTCCACCGGGCCGCACGGCGCGCGGTCCCCCAGGGGTTCACGAGTGGGCCTCTAGGTATAGGCCAACGGCACCATGGTGGCGAGGCGTTCCTGCGCCACGTCTCCGGCCAAGGTCCTTGCGCGCGTCGTGCTCAAGAAGGCCCAGGCCTTGGCGCCCACAGTTCGCACGAAAAGCGCGATCGACGACGTGTCGTTCCACGCTCCTGGCGGTCAGAGCACAGTGGCTTCCCAGCTCGGAGCTGCATGCAACACGGTGGTGGATGACGCCCAGGCCCGCGGGCGCCCGATTTCTCCAGGCAAGCGCAGGGTCCTTGGCTTGTTCGTCGGGCTCGGCCGCGGGCGCTGCGACCGTCTTGCCCCTGCATCTGTCATGTCAGACCGAGAGCAGTCGCGCAGAGGTCTTGGGCAGGACGGGGAGGGGGGGCGCGACGGGCGGGAAGCTTCGGACGGTTGCGACGCACATCGATCGTCATGTGTCCGCAAAGCGACGGGCTTTGCGACTTCGCGCGCTACGCGGGGCTGGAGCGACAAGGTTGTTGGGGTGCACAGATCAGGCCCAGCAGTGCTTACGATGCGGGGCTCCTGTGTCCACGGTTTGGGAGGCACCAGGCTCCGCGGAATGCGCGCCTCGGCGGCTCACGCGGACGGCAGACTTCCTAAAGGCACGTCTGTGGGACCCGACCTGGGCTGCGGAAGCCAGGGTGGAGGCGCGACCCGTCCGTGCTCACGACGACCGATTCGCCTCCTCCTCCTCCGCCTCCTCCTCCTTCTCCTCCTCCTCCTCCTCCGCCTCCTCCTCCTCCGCCTCCTCCTCCTCCGCCTCCTCCTCCTCCTCCTCCTCCTCCTCCTCCTCCTCCTCCTCCTCCTCCTCCTCCTCCTCCTCCTCCTCCTCCCCCCTCTCTCGCAGTATCCTTCCTCATCTCCGATCAGCGGCGTGCCCCCGTACCCTGGAGGGGATCGGACCCAGTGGATCGGATTTGAGCGGTCGGGTTGTGGATCCTGGCATGGGGGAGGGGGGTCGTGGGGCCATTAGCCAGCTCTTCATCCTGTGAGCCGTTCTCGGCGGCCCCGGGGCCCAGGCGGGGCCCGTTCCTTCGGGACACATTTTTCTTCATGGCGGTCCTGTTCATCCTCCCCTAAAAACTCAGCTCTGGACCTTTCCAGCGGTGCGTTCTGAGAAAATGTCAAGGTGGACCCGGCCCTAGCGGCGAGGATCCCTTCGGAGGCCCATGGAAGTGCAGGGCCAAGGACGCGCCAAAAACCGGCCCTCGGACATCGAACATCGACCGAGAGGGATTTGTTTGGGCCCGGGGAAGGAGGTCAGCCGCCGCCGTCGCCGTCGCCGCCGCCGTCGCCGCCGTCGTCGTCGTCGCCGTCGCCGTCGCCGTCGCCGTCGCCGTCGCCGTCGCCGTCGCCGTCGTCGTCGTCGTCGTCGTCGTCGTCGTCGTCGTCGTCGTCGTCGTCGTCGTCGTCTGCTGGGGGGTCGAGGGTCTGGGACCGAGTTTCCCGCGCAGTTTGCGGGTTTGGGGGGGGGAGCCTCCCGGCAGCCGCCCTCGCCGCCACACGGCTGGAGAGGCGCTCCGAAGCGCTGGCCAACAGGGAGAGCGGTACTGCGGGAGGGGCCCAGGGAGCGCTGCAGCAGATCTCGGCGGCCCGTGGCGGGGGGGCCCAGGCATGCCTTCGTCGTGCAAACACGGTTGGTTAAGTCGGGCGTGTCCCTCTACAGGAGGAGCGTTCGAAAATAATCCAGAAATCGTGTGAAGAAGATTTTTTCCAGTATGCTTGACCATTCTCTTGTATTTGTTGAATTAAAAAATGTTCGTCCAAAGTCCGCCTGTAGGGGGACATGCCCAACCGACAAGTACGGTGGTCGCGTTTGGTTAAGGCATGTGCCCATGAGCCTTCAGACCCTGGGCCATTCCTTATCGGATGAGGGCGGCGGTGACATCCATGGCCAGTCCACAATTGGAGTCACCCCAGCTTCCAGACCCTGGACTAATCATCCTTAAGTCGGGCCTGTCCTTCTACGAGAGGAATATCCAAAAATAGTAAAAAGTAGTCCGGGGACGATTCTTCCAATTTGTTTGACTATTGTTGAACATGTTTCGATTCTGTTTACAATTTCATCCAAGATCCCCCTGTAGGAGGACACGCCCGACCTAAACGTAGGCCACAGCGGGAGGCGTTTGGCACGCTTTGGCTTCCGGGTGCCTTCGCCAGGCCCCAGGACCGTCGAACAAAAACGGCTCGGGATGAAGAGCCGGCCCCGGGACATTGTCAGCCACGCGCAGAGGTGGATGGGGGGAGAGGGAGGGGGGGGGCTTCTTAGAAGCACCCCTGCTTCTTAGAAGGCGCAGGCCTTAC